GAGGTCTTCCTTCCATTGGTTCACTCCCCAAATGGCCGCAAGGGCTGGAGCTGCACCCATCTGAAGCCAGGAGCCAGGTGCTTCTTCCCAGTCTCCCATGCGAGTGCAGGGGCCCAAGCACTTGGGCCATCCTCCACTGCCCTCCCAGGCCACAGCAGAGAGCTGGACTGGAAGAGGAGCAACCGGGACTAGAACCGGCGCCCATATGGGATGCTGGCGCCACAGGTGGAGGATTAACCAAGTACGCCATGGCACCGGCCGCGTATCTTCACTCTTGATGTTGTCTTTTGTTGAATAGCCGAAGTTCCTAATTTTAATACAGTTGAATATATCAGACTTTTTTTTTTACTTGGTTTGTAGTTTCTATATTGTCTCTAAGATAATCTTGAGGCTGGCACTGTGGCGTAGTAGAGTTGCTGCTTGCAGTACTGGCATCTCATATAGGCACCAGTTCGAGTCCTGACTGCTTCACTTCTGATCCAGTTCCCAGCTATGGCCTGGGAAAGCAGTAGAAGATGGCCTAAGTCCTTGGGCACCTGCATATGCTTGGGAGACCCAGAAGAAGCTCCTGGCTCCTGGCTTTGGATTGGCTCAGCTCTGGCCATTGTGTCCATTTAGGCAGTGGATGGAAACCCACCCCCACCCCCCACCACCTCTCTAATAAATAAATAAATCTTAAAGAAGGAAAGAAAACCTTCCCTGGGGATGGCATTATGAGGCAGTGAGTAAAGCTGCTGCCCCGTGTGCCCCAGTGCAAGCCCTGGCTCCTCCACTTCCGATCCAGCTCTCTGCTAATATGTCTGGGAAGGCGGTGGAAGATGGCCCTAGTACTTGGGCCCTTGCACTCAATGTGGGAGACCCAGAAGAAGCTTCTGGCTCCTGGCTTTGGACTGGCCCAACTCTGGCTATTGCAGCCATTTAGGGAGTTCACTAACCAGCAGGTGAGAGATATCTCTCTCTGTGTCTCTTCCTGCCCCCCCCCCAACTCTTCCTTTCAAATAAGTAAAATTTAAAAACAAAAAACTGAAGAAGAAAAGCACCAGATAGAGAATAATTTAAATTATAAGGGAATCTTTGCAAATAAGTAAGAATACCTGAAGAAATAGGTGTTTCTGTACACTTAAGTTACTGAAACTAAGATAACATTATACATGTAAAGCAACTATCTAGCTCTGCTTCAGATATGCTAGACACTTGATAACTTTACATTTTGCCTCTTCCCCATCCTCCTTGTTTCTTTTGGCATGGATTTCATTAACTCATTTGCTTTCTGCCAATTTCTACCTGATAGATCATTCTGATAGGTAAATATATGAAGTTATTTTGGTTATATCCTGACACTACCCTACATGGGAATCTTTTTTTTTTTTTTTAAAGATTTATTTATTCCAAAGGCAGAGTGACAAAGAAGGTGACAGAGGGGGTTATAGGGTCTTCTAGATCTTCCATTCTCTGGTTTGCTCTCCAAATGCCTGCAGCAGCCAGGGATAGGCCAGGCCAAGCCAGGAGCCAGGAATTCCATCCAGGTCTCCTGCACAGGTAGCAAGAACCCATGTACTTGGGCCATAATCTGCTGTCTTTCCAGGCACATTAGCAGGAAGCTGGATCAGAAATGGAGGACTGGGACTCAGACCAGCCGCTCAGTATGGTTTGCAGCTTCCCAAATGGCAGCTTAACTCGCTGTACCACGATGCCCACCCCTATTTGAGAATTTGTGGCCATCTGCTCTGTCTACACAATTAAGCTTTTATTAGTCATCTTTCTATGGCTCCATTTGTCTTTCCTTTGTGTTTTTTTTTTTTTCTTTTTAAATATTTCTTTATTTGTTTGAGAGGTAGAGTTAGACAGTGAGAGGGAGAGACAGGGAGAGAGAGAGGTCTTCCTTCCATTGGTTCACTCCCCAAACGGCCCCAAGTGCTGGAGCTGCACCGATCCGAAGCCAGGAGCTTCTTCTGGTCTCAAATGTGGGTGTGGGGGCCCAAGGACTTGGGTCATCTTCTGCTGCTTTCCCAGGCCATGGCAGAGAGCTGTATTGGAAGAGGAGCAACCGGGACTAGAGCCAGCCCCCATATGGGATGCCAGCGCCGCAGGCAGAGGATTAACCAAGTGAGCCAGGCGCCGGCCCCTCCGTTGTGTTTCCACAGTGTGTCGCTGGCATGATTTCTGCTGTGTGTCAGAGGTTCCCAGTGTATTGTATTATGTTAGTTGTCTGCTGCTGTCCAATAAATTAACTCCAAAACTTAGCAAAAGCAAATCAATTCAGTCATCTCCAGTTTTTGCTCCAGAGTTGGAGAGTGACTTATGTGGCTGATCTGATGCCGGCACTCTATAGAGAGGATTTCCTCAGATGTCAACCACACCTACTCTCATCGAGAGAGTTCCGGGGCTGATGGATCAGTTTCCATAGGCTCCTCTCTCATGGCTCTTACCAAGACTGCAGGTCCTCTATGGGCGTGTGTCCTCACTGCCTGTCGTGGGGGCCTATCCACAGAGGTGCTTGAATGTCCTCATGACACTCAGTGAGAGCAGTGTGAGAACATGGTGCCCATTTCAGTACCTGGTCTCTGTAGTTCCCACTGTCACTGTTCCATATTCTGCTGGTTAGGGGTAAGTCACCATGTCTAGCCCACTTTCAAAGGGAGAAATATTAAGTTTTGCCTTTTAGGGAGAGGAATTGGTGGCCTTTTTTTTTTTTTTTTTTTAAAAAGATTTATTTGTGGGTTCGGTGCTGTGATGCAGTGGGTTAATGCCTTGGCCTGAAGCATGGGCATCCCATATGGGTGCCGGTTCGAGACCCAGCTTCTCCTTTTTTTTGACAGGCAGAATGGACAGTGAGAGAGAGACAGAGAGAGAGAAAGGTCTTCCTTTGCCGTTGGTTCACCCTCCAATGGCCGCTGCGGCCAGCACACCGCGCTGATCCAATGGCAGGAGCCAGGTGCTTTTCCTGGTCTCCCATGGGGTGCAGGACCCAAGTACCTGGGCCATCCCCCACTGCACTCCCTGGCCACAGCAGAGAGCTGGCCTGGAAGAGGGGCAACCGGGACAGAATCCGGAGCCCCGACTGGGACTAGAACCCGGTGTGCCGGCGCCACAAGGCGGAGGATTAGCCTAGTGAGCTGCAGCACCGGCCTTCTCCACTTCTGATCCATCTCTCTGCTATGGCCTGGGAAAGCAGTAGAAGATGGCCCAAATCCTTGGGCCCCTGCACCCGCATGGGAGACCCAGAAGAAGCTCCTGGCTTCGAATCATCGCAGCTCTGGCTGTTGCAGCCATTTGGGGAGTGAACCATCAGATGGAAGACCTCTCCCTCCTCCCTCCCTCTCTCTCTCTTTGTGCCTCTCCTCTCTTTATATAACTCTTTCAGATAAATAAACCAATCTTTAAAAAAAGAGATGTATTTGTTCATTTTAAAGAATTAACAGAGAAGGGATGTGGGGAGAGAAAGATCTTCCATCCACTGGTTTGCTCCCCAAATGGCCCTAGCCCTGGCTGAAGCCAGGAGTCTCCTTGAGGTCTTCCCACATGGGTTGCAGGGACCCAAACACTTGGGCCACATTCTGCTGCTTTTCCCAGGCCCCTAGCAGGGAGACGGATCAGAAGTGGAGCAGTCAGAACATGAACTGGCACCCATATGGGATGCCAGTGTTGCAGATGATGGCTTTACCTGCTATAGCAAACCTCTGGCCCATATAGATGTATTTTTTTAAATACCACATCTTGGGGTGGCTGCTGAAATGAAATATTCTGAAGCCTCACTTGAGGTGTGGCGATCGGTAGACCCTGAGAAGCCTGCAGTTTGTGGGAGTCCCTGTGTGGTAACTGAAGTGCTCACTTGGAAATTTGCTGCTCTTGTCAAGATGGATCTCTTGGTCTTCCTTAAATAACTGAATTGTTTGCTCCTCTCCATCTGTTTTCACATACACAGAGCACACCTACCGCATGTTCAACTCTAGATACCCATATTTTAAATCCTGCTTCAGTCTGATACCTCCATGGCACACACCACCCTAGACAGAAGCAAGCTCTCTCTCCATTGAATTCCTGTAGTATTCGGTCTTTTTTCTTGCTCTTTGGCTCTAATTCATTTTATTTTGGTCAGCTGCACTGCTAGTAGTAATTTTCGCGGGTTAAGCCTCTGCTGGTGATGCTGGCATCCCATCTTGAAGCATTGGTTCTAGTCTTGGCTGTTTTACTTCTGATCCAGCTCCCTGCTGGTGTGCCTGGGAAAGCAGTGCTTGCCACCACTGTAGGACACCCGGAGTGGGTTCCTGGCTCTTGGCTTCGGCCTGTCCCAGCCCTGGATGTTGTAGGCATTTGAGGAGTGAACCAGTGAATGAAACATTGCTTGCTCTCTCTCTCTCCCCCACCCCATGTGTGTGTGTGTGCGCATCTTCTTCTGTCACTCTGCCTTTTAAATAAAGTAAATAATAAAGACTAAAAGTGGTTGCTTGCATTTGACTTCTCCTGGCAGAAGAACTCTGGCAACATGGTAATAAGCACCCTGCTAGTCAGGGTGGGAATTAGAGTGCTAGGGAGGCTGGCTCAAACCACATGGCGGTCAGTGCTTTCAAGCAGGCATTTAGCAAGCGAATGTGCTCCTGTTGTGTGCCATGGTTGGTTTCAGATGTCTAGTAGTGAAGAGACAGGCATACTTCCTGTATCACCACAACTTGAAAGACATTCTAGGGAAGAAGTGAACAGACATCTGTGATTTAGAACAAATGAGACCCTGCTTAGATAAGTTTTCAAAGAATCTGCTTGAGACTTGAAGGATGAAAAGATTAGCATGTTCTACCAACTGAGAGGAGTTAAGGTGACTAGAAGTGGGAATACCATTTGGTAATAGATTATAAGGGTACTTTTAAGCCACTCCAAACTTTCATGTTAGTCTTAGAACATTAGCAGTGAACCAGATAGCTAAGAGAAAAATTTCTACTGCAGCAGTGGAATATAATGTTTAATAATTTGTTTTGGGAAAATTGTGTCTTTTTTTTTTTTAGCTCTTCAGAGAAGTACGAATAATGAAGATTTTAAATCATCCAAACATAGGTATTTCTGCTTTTCATTTTTAGGCCTTTGGGGTTAGCCAGCCAACTCTGATTTTCAAGTTCCAGCTTTCCATCAAAAACACTTTATTACTCAATGTATTTATTTTGCCTTTCAAGTAATTAAATTGTACTCTGAATAGTTTCCTACTTACTATGTATCTTTGATAGTAGGTTAAGCTTTCTTAAAATTCCTATTGTGTTAAAATAATTTTTCTAGAAGAGAGAATTTGCATTGGAATATTGGATTTTATTTTTATTTTGCTTGTTTACCAACACATATGTCTTAACTTTGTTAAACATTTTTTAATACCAGAAAATTACACACACCTACCCCTTTTGGGTGAATATAATTCTAAAGTAAATATTAACAAAATTAAGTACATATGCAAAATGACTTGGTAGACTCAGATTCATTTTAGTTGAATTTATAAATAATTATTTCTAATTGCTGTTAATGGTTTTATGAATTAGAAGTAGTAGGAATATTTCTATCAGTAACAAGGAATTGCTATGGCAAAATCACACTTACCCATTGAAAATCATTCTCTAAAGTTCTTTACAGTTAGTTGCACCATTATCTCTTCTACTTGCTTCAAGGAACCCTTGTTCTTACAGAGTTAAGTTTCCCAAGCAACAAAGTACAATTTGGTCCTTAAAGCCTTAAATGACGAGTGAATAGACCAGCACTTGTAGGAGTGGAGTAAATCTGAGTGATTCTGCAAGTGGAGAGAAAGAGAACCACTTGTCCTGTGGCACAAAAGATGGGCTCCTAGGAGGTCAGCGAGCCAGTACATAGCCAGACAGTGGCACAATAGAGCCAGTCCGAGTAGATGCCCTTGGCTAGACTACTAGTGTGCACTGAAGTCACTTTTGTGGGCACCTAGAAAGTCTATTTTTGTGGAATTCCACGCTTCTATAAAACCTTTTCCATTGTTGTAATTTAAGATAAAACTCACTAAATGAAATTTTAAAAAGATGAGGTATTAAAATCTGTAACAGAGAAAAACTTGCTTTTTAATGTTACGGTTTTTATGTGTGGTTTGTGCATATAAACAATTGTTTCTTTTCCTGTTATGTTCTCTCCCCTCCCCTAGTGAAGTTATTTGAAGTCATTGAAACTGAAAAAACACTCTACCTAATCATGGAGTATGCAAGCGGAGGTAAGAGCACTCTAATATATTGAAGTCTTCTTTGTTTTTAAATATTTATTCTATTATTTGAAAGAGTTACACAGAGAAGTAGAGACAGAGAGAGGGGTCTTCCATCCACTGGTTCACTCCCCAAATGGCTGAAACAGCCAGAGCTGAGCCAATCCAAAGCAAGGAGCCAGGACCTTCTTCCAGGTCTCTCACGTGGGTATAGGTGCCTAAGGACTTGGGCCACCCTCCACTGCTTTCCCAGGTACATTAGCAGGGAGCTGGACTGGAAGTGGAGCAGCCAGGTCTTGAACCGGTGCCCATATGGGATTCTGGTGCTGCAGGCCAGGGCTTTAATAGTGCCAGCCCATATTTTCTTTTCTTTGAAAAGAATATACTACTTCACTGCCCATATGGATAATGGTTAAGATTTTTTTCTAACAGCCAGAGTTGTAATGTACTGGCTTAGCAGTTGTGTGGGTTATCACCATTAGGATTATAAATTGATAATATTTAAGTACTTAGATTTGTTTTAATGGATTAAAATGTACATCACATGGAACTTGCTATCCTGTCCATTCACAAGTGTGTGGTTCAGTCACATTGTTGTGCAGCACTCACCATTTTTGGAGCTTTTCCTCCTCCTGAGCTACAGATGCATCCCCATGAAACATTGACTCTCCAGTTCCACTTCCCCAGATCTTGGCGATGACCACTCTACTTCCTGGCTCTATGAATTTGACTCGTCTATAGATGAAGTATAATGGGGTCATAAGGATTTGCCCTTTTGTCACTGGCTTATTTTACTAAGCATAATATCTCCCAGATTATCCATGTTGTAGCATGTTAGAATTTCCTTCATTTTTAAGACTGAATAACGGTTGATTTGGGGTATGTGTGTGTGTGTGTTTATATGTGTACATTTTGTTTATCCCAAATATTGGATTTTTAAATGTATTTAATGGATTGGTCTGTTTGAAATAAATATGTATTCCATGTTATATGTTTTTGTTTATCAGATTTAATATATCATCTTTCCCAAGGCCAGAAATGATTACAGTAACTATATTTTCCTTAAAATAGAGATTAAAGACTGATATATATTTGCCTACTTGGTTGTAAAGCTGTAGGCATTTTCTGAAATGCATGCTGTCTTTTTATGAAGATTCTCATTTTCGGATTGAGGTTGGACTGAGCATATAGTTTCTGATTGTGGGGCTCAGAAGTTGTCCTGCTTATCTGTTCATGTTTATGCCTGACACCGAGCAGGTACTCACAAATAAGGATTAGACTCCATTTGTGATACTATGAACTGCTGGGGACACGTTCTGCTGAATCTGCAGGATGGTAGTTAAACTGTTAGCACCTTGATCTAGGCTGCAAAACCCAGAGATGCAATGTTAAGTCATAGCCTCATTGTGTGAGTTCTAACCATTAAATAAAGGATTGTAAACTTGTGAGGAAGAGTGAGTTACAGGAGATAAAACCTGACTTTCCATGCTCTGACCACTTTTTCACACTTGTAATTCATTGGTAGTTGGTATTTTAAGACCTGAGGAATAATAGGAAGAGCTAGAGACTTAATTTTATAGGACTAAAAAATCTATATGGAATTCTAACCTTCCTACTTGCTTTATAGATAGGCACCCATAAGTAGAGTTCATAAATTCCTCATTGGTGTAACCTCATCAGAGTTCAAGGTGCTTTTTCTTACCTGGTGCCTTCTGAAAGCATCAGATAGTCTCATGATGACTCCATGGTGTTATTAGGAGGAGATGGGGGGACTTTTACCTTGGAGGAAACAGAGGGTGGGGCACCTCACTGCAGTTGTGCTGCTGGGCCTGGACCCCCGCCTCTGACACCAGAGAGCCTCTTGGGGTTTGCAGTTTGTCGCAGTCATCTGTCCCCATCTGTTTCAGGTGCCCAAGTCTTGGACAGTATTATTCTTATGTGAGGGCAAGACAAAAACATCTGAGAGGCATCTAGATCCAGTAGAAGGAAGACAGCCTTTGGAAAAGCCAGATGGGGGTGAATTGAGGCATTGGCCCCTCTCAGCCATGTGTCTTGACAAATACCAGGCCAGCGGAGCTTGCTAACTTCAGAGAGGGGGTGTTAGCCATCTGCTTTGACCAGCGTTAGGGCAATGCTTAATCAGTGGTGGTGGTAGTTTATTGTCTTGAGTGGACCGTTAGTTTTAATGAACTGAACAATGCACTGGCAGTCTTCAAGACATTGTTGTATCCTTGACCAAACAACAAAACGTTCATTAAATTGGCTACCCCTTTCCCTTAATCTTTTTTTAAAAGGTTTATTTATTTAAAAGTCAGAGTTAGAGATCTGCTGGTTCACAACTCAGATGGCCACAATGGCCCTCTCTCCCTATCCCCCTCCCCCCTTCTCCCCTCTCCCCTCTCCCACTCTGCCTTTCAAATAAATAAATTTTTTAAAAAAGGAAAGGATCTAGAAATCATCCAAAACAACTGTCTGATTTTTACAGAGATCATTAAAACTCAGATTGTTCTATGCCAAGGATTTCTTAGCTAATTAGTCACAGGACATGAAGTAGAACTAAGGGCTTTCTAAATTATCCTGGCTTTCTGTTCAACAACACATTCCCTTAACCAGGGCAGGAGTCACTGTTTGCTCTTTTTTCTCTAAATAGCCTTTAGAGATTTTCAGTTCAGTTGCTTAATCTAAGTGTTAATACATTTTTTAATAAAGGAAAAGAGGAGAGATCTGGGTTGAAATCTTGGATTATAAATTTAATTCCTGGGGCCAGCATTGTGGCATAGTAGGTTAAGCCTCTGCCTGTGGTGCTGACGTTCCGTATGGGCGCTGGTTCAGGTCCCAGCTGCTCCACTTTTTTTTTTTTCTTTATATTCTGACAGGCAGAGTGGACAGTGAGAGAGAGAGAGACACAGAGAAAGGTCTTCCTTTGCCGTTGGTTCACCCTCCAATGGCCACCACGGCCGGCGCACTGCGGCCGGCGCACCGCGCTGATCCGATGGCAGGAGCCAGGTACTTATGCTAGTCTCCCATGGGGTGCAGGGTCCAAGTACTTGGGCCATCCTCCGCTGCACTCCCTGGCCACGGCAGAGAGCTTGCTCCACTTCTGATCCAGCTCCCTGCTAATGGTCTGGGAAAGCAATGGAAGATGGCCCAAGTGCTTGGACCCCTGCACCCACGTGGGAGACCTGGAAAAAGCTCTGGCTTCTGGCTTTGGATCGGTCCAGCTCTGGCCATTGTGGCCATTTGGGGAGTGAACCAACAGATGGAAGATCTCTCTGTCTCTCCCTCTCACTGTAATTCTGTTTCTCAAATAAATAAAGCCTTTAAAATTTTAATTCCTGATTTATAACTTAGTAATTGTGAATATGATTTTGTAGTTTCAGAAATCTCTTAAGAGGTTTATGTTGCACTTGAATTAATCAAAATATTTAAAAATCATACTGATAGGCTTGGACTTCATCTGTGTTACTGTATAGGAACTATTGGGCTTAAGCCATTTTTTTAAAAAAGTTAAAATTGTTTCTGTGTACTGTGCCCACATCCTTAATTGTTTTCACTTATTAACCACTTGTTTTGACATTGTGTACTTTTCTGCAAATAGAAGTTCATTCGCTTAGAGAATGCTGACATTTCACTGAGCTAGCATTTAACTCATAAGATCCTGTGTCATTCAGAAAGCTGTTGTAAGTGTCAGGGTATTTTATGTTGTCACTAAGGTGACGGAGCTACATATGCTGTATGAATAAGAAGCATATGTATTCCTTTCCTCAGAACATTTTCTATGTGATTTTCTATACAAGTATTCTGCTGGTTTCAGAGGTGGTCTTTATTTATGCTAAATTGATAAGCAGTTGGCAGTGCTAACACCCTGTTCTCTAGAATGTCACCTCTCTTCCTCAAGGAATTAATATTGCATAAATAGCTGTAGATGTTTATGGGAAGTTTTTGGTTTTACCTTCCCTGTCTTTAGCCCCCATTTCCTATTCCAATCTGCTCAGCCCAAGCCACTGTCAGGTGTGGTTAAATTATTACATTGAGCTCCCTAGAGGTGTCCTTGTTCCTTCCCTTCATGCTAACCCTCCCTCAACCAGCAAGTGATCAATTGTTTGATCTTGTCTGCTTCACAGCTCACTTAGGGGGAAGCCAGCGTCCTCAGGGCTCTTTGGGAGCTGTGCCTGCAGACCTCCTTGCTGTCTCTCTGACTCGTGGTCGAATCTTCCTCCCAAATAACCACTCTCTACTCCCTCAAGTGGTTGGGAAAACACAAGCAAGCTAGCACACTGCCTGCTTCTTTCCCCTGCACTTAACCTCTCACGTTTCCTTGCTCCCCTACTAGAATGTAAACTCCATGAGGAAGGAGGCTTTGCTGTGTTTTCTGTTGCATTTCCCCAGAGCCTAGAACAGTGCCTGGCAATTAGTAGGTACTCGATAAATAATCTCTTGAATAAATGAATTTACCCAGAAAATGTTTTGTTATCTTAATTGTTCAATGAGGACATCCTCTTTTAACCGAATAACCTAATCCATTTTAACTTTCAATTTTCACTGGTCAGTTTTTATTAGTGTATAGAAAACACATACCCTTAAAATTAAAAGTTGTATAGGTATGTGAGAATTTAATTTTAATACTTTTTCTCCAGCTTAAAGATTATGCTGATTATTTTAAATGCCTGTGGACAAAACTGTAAGCCTAGCTTAGTTCAAATTCCACGTATTTCTGGCTAACTTCACAGCTATACTTAGAAATTAGCGCATTGCAAAGTGGAACATTATCAGTTTATGGGAAAATTAATGCTCAGAAGTAGGACTTTTTTTACTTATATTTCTCTCAATTATAGGTGAAGTTTTTGACTATTTGGTTGCACATGGAAGAATGAAGGAAAAAGAAGCAAGAGCTAAATTTAGACAGGTATGAATCAACTTGTCTTTAGTTTGTTAATAAAGTTATCTTGCTTAAACCTGAAGCAGACAAGTGTTTGCCTCCATGAATGCTCATAAGGCCCGCTGGATGGAGCAGGGGTTGGCCATTCAGTTCAACAAAGACTGATTAAGTAGGACCATCTGTACCTGAAGTGCCGTACAAGAGGCAGCTGTGGGTGCTAGTCCTATGTTTATAGTTGGGATGTTAGTCTCACCCTGAACCTTCATTTTTTAACAGTTGAACTTTAAAAAAAGTACCTGTGGTTACATTCGTTAGAACCATTTTCAAGCTTTTAGCAAGAAAGGTTTCACAACACCAAAATTCATTGTCAGTTTTGCCTTACATAAGATCAGATATACCTTAATCTGTCAGTGGCTTACTTTTCTTTAAAGAGATACTTCTGTTAATAAGCAGTTTTAAGCATAAAGGCAACTTTTAACTCTCCTATCTTTGTTAATAATGATTACTGTTTATTGATTGACCATTACCTGCCAGACACTGGGACAAGTGCTTTATCTGCATTAGCAAGTCTGCCAGCAGCCTTGTAAGTGAAAGAGGATTGCCTGTTTGCTAATGCTGAGACGGCTGAGGCTGGGAAGATGAACTTGCCAGAGATTCCTGCCTGTAAAGAGCAGCTCTGCCCTAGATGCAGACCCGCCCTCTGACTCCAGACCTCAGCCTCGTCACGCTCGTGCTGTGTTGCATCCAGGATAAGGATCCATAGCCTTTTCCTGCCAAGGACCAGTCATAGTTTAGGTTTTGTGGATCATACAGTCTCTTGCAGCATAGAGGCAGCTGTAGATAATAGTGTACGAGGTCAGCAGGACTGGATTCCTGTGAACTGTCACCTACAGGACCAAGGGTGGACCAAGGATAACCCCCTAAGCCATAACTTGCTATCCCTGATTTAGAAGAATTACTGAGAGTACACTTCATTGGCAGTGTCAGCCCTTTTCTCGCAAAACCTTTCAGTTGTATAAGATTGGGACAGACTCTCTAAGGCTTTGTATGTTTAGAAAGGCAGTTTTAGCTGATTTTCAGGTTTCCTCTCGATGCTACCTTTAGTCTGCTATATACAGTTAAGGACTCTTAAGTCTCTTAACTTTTGCTGTTCCTTTAATTTAAGAGTTTAAAAAACATATTAATAGGTACTTTGAACTAAAATCTACTAAATATCAAAGGTGACGCTAACTTTGGCCATCATTTTACTTCTCTTGTCTTCACTTTTCTATAAAAAGATAAAGTGATGCTTGATGAAAATCTGTGTTTCTTTCCAGTTCTAATATAATTTGATTTGTGGCCTATGAGAGGAAACGCAAACTTTTTTTTTTTTTTTAAAGATTTATTTATTTATTTGAAAGGCAGAGTTACAGAGAGGCAGAGGTAGAGAGAGAAAGAAAGAAGTCTTCCATCCGATGGTTACTCCCCAGATGGCTGCAATGACCGGAGCTGAGCTGATCCAAAGCCAGAAGCTTCCTCCAGGTCTCCCATGTGGGTGCTGAGGCCCAAGGACTTGGGTCATCCTCCACTGCTTTCTCGGGCTGTAGCAGAGAGCTAAATCAGAAAGTGGAGCAGCTGGGACTCGAACTTGCACCCATATGGGATGCCGACACTGCAGGTGGCATCCTTACCTGCTACGCCACAGCACCGACCCAAAAACTTTTATTACGAAGTAAGCCTACCCTTTCCATAACTGGATAACACTTGTTATCAATTGGCTACCTGGAAGCAAAGATTTTTTTGCCCAATACAACTTAAATTCTTCCTGTCAGGTAAATCTGACTTGGAGATATTGATGTGGATACAGGTTATTGACCATCAGGAAAGAGCTAGTACAAACTAGCAAGAGTAGGGCTGAAGCTGAACCCACAACTCCTTTCCTATCCCCTGCCATCTCTATCCTTCCCCTGCGGGATCCAGCTTGCCAGAGGGACTTGGACATTTGCTAACCTAAATCCTGCAGAAATTAATCAGATTTTTATTTCAAGGTTGCTGCAGAAATTCCAAAAGCCTTGACTTAGACCAGGAAAAATGGTTTGTATGTGTGCTTTTACAGTTAATGACCTGATTTACAGCACAGCACGTGGAATTAGTGCAGTCCCTTCTTGCCAGGATATTTGCCTAAGACATATTCCTTACATCCAGAAGGATCAAGCATGATACTGGTGTCCCCGCTTTGTGTTTCTAAATACCACACTTCCTAGGAGCTGATAGTGTGTCATTATTTTAAATGAAAACGAAAACAAAAAACAACTTCCTGTTTATGACAAAGAGGAAGATGTGCCACACACAAAGTACACTATTTGTGATGTGTTTTCTGCCTTCGATGGGCCCTTCTTTCCACATTCATCGGCAGATGGTTTTTCCTTTGCTGTTCTCCCCTCCTCACCCAGATTACTTTCTATGCCATTTTTTATTTTTTGGCTTAAATCTTATTATTTTCGAAGGAAAAGAATGGATTCTTTCTCTTACCTCTTTCTCAGTGGACTGGTCATGTTGGTGCCTCCATTTTTCAAGTAAGACTGTATTTGAATTAGGCTAACATTCGTGTTTTAGCCCAGAAACATTCAGGTCCTCAGCCTTCTGTAGCAACGACTCTTTCCAACCTGGTACAAAATGCGTAAAAGCAATAGGCTAAAGTTGAGTATGTTCGATTTGTTGTGGCATCAAGTTAGTTTGGAGCTAAAGAAAGATAAATTATTTGATCTCTTTGAGAAAGGGCAGGATTGTCAAATCTGAATCAAAAGCAGATTCTAAATTATATATAAGAAATCTCAGTACGAGAAAAAAAATTAGAAAAATGGGAAAAGGGAAAAAATGGGTCAGGCACTGGGAAGCTAAGTTTGCCGCTGTCCTAGGTGCAGTGTGCCTGTGACTTTGCTCTGGAAAACCAGACTGTGGCACTTTCCCAGCTTTCATGCTGCAGCACGCAGCAGCAGTGGCGGTCATCCAAAGCAGACATTGGAATTTTGAACCGTTAGTTAATTGTGAGTGGATCTAATGTTACAAATACTCATTTTAAATAAGATAATGATGCTGCTTAACAAAGCCCTGACTATGACATGATCCCATCCCATCCCCAGCCCAGCCCAGCCCAGCTTCTCCATGCTTATTGTAAACCAGAATACCAGACAAGCTTCTGTAAGGTTTCATGTCCAGTACAGGTGGGCCCAAGTGGTGGAGTGCCTCATTGAAGTACTAGCCACTCTGTCCAGCTTCCTGTTAATGTACCTGAGAGACAGAATAACATGGCCCTAATACTGCCTTCCGCATAGGAGATCTGGATGAGTTCCTGGCCCCTGGCTTCCATCTGCCCTTGTCCTGGCTGTTGCAGGCATTTAAGTAAGCCAATGGACAGAAGATTTTTTCTGTCTCCCCCTACCTTTCTCTCTCTCACACAACCCCTCCACCCCCGCCCCGACAGTCTGCAAATAAATAAATAAATCTAAAGAAAAAGGGTGAACTAGATCATCTGGTCCTGGGCCTTTGGGCAGCTGGGATCGTTGAGACCCAGGCAGTTAGTTGAGTTGTGGCACCACATTCCATGTGAAGTGAATGCAGCAGGTAAGATGAACCAGCGAGAGCAAGGAGAACGTTGTCTCACCCTGCTCTCCTTGTCCTTACCCCTGAATTTTTCTAGGAAATTGTTTTTAGAAACCCAGACAGACATTCAAGTGCTTACTGCATATTTTGCATGTGTGAACATTGATAGAGCATTTCCATCTTAATTACGAATCTACACGCATGGTGACTGACTTGGGTCTCCCTCTCAATCTCTCTCTCCCTCCCTTCCTCTCCAGATCGTGTCTGCAGTACAGTACTGCCACCAAAAACGAATCGTGCACAGAGACCTCAAGGTGAGTGCAAGCCCCCTTCCTAAGTGTATGCCCTATTTGTATGTGTTCAGTTCTCCCAAGAATCGTTAGACAAATGAGACAGAGATTAGTTTGTATGATCAAGAAAGCGATAAATCCTATAATAATTGAATCATTTTAATCAGGTTATAGTAAAGTTTATTAGAGGTTACATTTCAGTGAAAGTGGGTAGTAGTTTCTTCTAGAGGACAGTCATCACACCACCCTACCAGGACAGCATCCTCAATGCTGAGGGTGCTGCCTGGCAGCTGTTTCTGTTTCCATCCTGTTTATAGCAGTGCCTTTTTTTTTTTTTTTTTAGATTCATGTTTTTAAAACAGAGTTACAGGCCGGCGCTGCAGCTCACTAGGCTAATCCTCCGCCTTGCGGCGCTGGCACACCGGGTTCTAGTCCTGGTCAGGGCGCCGGATTCTTTCCTGGTTGCCCCTCTTCCAGGCCAGCTCTCTGCTGTGGCCCAGGAGTGCAGTGGAGGATGGCCCAAGTGCTTGGGCCCTGCACCCCATGGGAGACCCAGGTAAGCACCTGGCTCCTGCCATCGGATCAGTGCAGCGCGCCGGCCGTGGTGGCCATTGGAGGGTGAACCAACGGCAAAGGAAGACCTTTCTCTCTCTCTCACTGTCCACTCTGCCTGTCAAAAAATAAAAATAATAATAATAATAATAACAGAGTTATAGATTGTTCATCTGCTGATTCATTCCCCAAATGGCTGCAAGTAGCCAGGGCTGGTCCAGGCCAAAGCCAGGAGCCAAGAACTCCATCCAGGTCTCCCATGTGGGTGGCAGGGACCAGGGTCTTGGCCCATTAACAGGGAGCTAGATTAGAAGCAGAATAGCTAAGACTTGAATCAGTACTCTGGTATGGGATGTGGGTATCACAAGCCGTGGCTTAACCTGCTGCACCACAGCGCTGGCCTCAGAAGTCCTGTTTGAGACTCCTCTCTGGTCTTCTACTACTGCCTTGGCTCTTGACATAGTAAGTAGAAGGTTTCACATTTGACAGTGGTTTTCCAGCAGGTCCTCAAGCCTGACTACACCTGCATGTATCCTTCGCTCTTCTCTGGTCGCAGGAGAGTGGAGTGCCTGTGCTTGCCTTGCCTGTGGTCTGACATCTGAGCTCTATCCTTTGCCTCTTTCCTCTGCATTCCTGTGATTACTCTGACTACTGTCTTCTCCCCAGTAGCATTTCCACATGCTCAAGTCTATACCCTGCTTCTCTTCCAGATATAGCTTTGTTTTTTCTTTTCAACATTTATTTGAGGGACCTAGGCTTTGGCATAGCAGGTTAAAAAAAAATGCTTTTTACATTACACCCAGAATAATCTTAAAAACAAGTAATGAGGACCAGCGTTATGACATGTGGGTTAAACCACCACCTTCAATTTCTACATCCCATATGGGCCCCAGTTCATGTCCTGGCCACTCCACTTCTGATACAGCTCCCTGTTCATGTCTCTGGGAAAGCAGTAGAGGATGGCCCCTGGGCTTGGGCCCTTGTACCCATGTGGGAGTCCTGGAAGGTGTTCTTGGCTCCTGGTTTCAGCCTGGGCCATTGCAGCCATTTGAGAAGTGAACCAATAGGTGAAAGATCTCTGTATTTCCCTCTTTCTCTTTGTAACTCTCCTTTCAGATAGATAAATATATGTCAAAGTGAAAACAAAAAGGTGAGGGGCAGGCCATTTGATGCAGCTGTTAAATCACCACTTGGGATGCCCACATCCTATATCAGGAGTGCCTGGTTTCAGTCCTGGCTCCTCTTCTGATCTGCTCATGCATATCTTGTAGCATTTTGGTACAACAATGCCAATAATGTAGATGATGCCACAAATGCTTGGGTTTCTGCCACCCAAATGGGAAACTTGAATTGACTTCTGCGTTTTAGCTTAGGCCTGGCACAGCACTGGCTATGGCAAGAATTTAGAGAGTGAATCGGCAAATGGATGATTTCTGTCTTTGCGTTTTTTTCAAAGAAAATGGAAAAAGCAGAACAAAACGAAACAAAAAACTCAGAATGCCAGGGGCTGAAATTGTGGCCACAGCAGGGTAAGCCACCGTGTGGAACACTGGCATGCTGTTTTGGAGCACAGTGTGAGTCCTGGTTACTCTGTTTCCATTCCAGCTCCCTGCTAGTGCATCTGGAAAGGCAGCAGAGAATAGTCCCAAGTGCTTAGGCCCCTGCCACCCACGTGGGGGACCTGGCTGGAGTTCTACTGTTGCGGCTTTGGCCTGGCCCAGCCCCAGCTGTGTAGCCATATGGGGAGTGAACCAGCTGGAGCAATAGCGTGGCATGGCATCTACAGGCCATAGCAGAGAGCTGAATTGGAAGTGCAGCAGCTGGAACTCGAACTGGCACCCATATGGGATGCCAGCACTGCAGGCGGCGACTTCACCTGCTACACCACAGTGCTAGCCCCTACCATTAATTTTTTTTTTTTTAAGATTTATTTACTTATTTGAAAGACAGAGTTAGAGAGAGGCAGAAGCAAAGAGAGAGAGGTCTTCCATCCATTGGCTTGCTTCCCAAATGGCTGCAACTGCCAGAGTTGGTCCAATCAGGAGCCAGGAGCTTCTTCTGGGGTCTCCCACACAAGAACTGGAGAAAGCTCTTGTCTTCTGGCCTCAGATCTGCTCAGTTCAGGCCATTGTGGCCATTTGGGGAGTGGACCAGTGGATGGAAAACCTTTCTCTGTGTCTCCCTCTCTCTTTCTATAGCTCTATCTCTCAAATAAATAAAATCTTTAAAAGTAAATAATAAATAGGTGCCGGCACTGTGGAGCAGCGGGTTAACAGCCTGGCCTGAAGTGCCGGCATTCCATATGGGCTCCGGTTCTAGTCCCGGCTGTTCCTCTTCCAATCCAGCTCTCTGCTATGGCTTGGGAAAGCAGTAGAAGATGTCCCAAGTCCTTGGGCCCCTGCATCCATGTAGGAGACCCGGAAAAAGCTCCTGGCTCCTGGCTCCGGATCAGCGCAGCTCTGGCCGTTGCAGCCAGTTAGGGAGTGAACCATCGAATGGAAGACCTCTCTCTCTTCTCTCTTCTCTCTTCTCTCCTCTCTCTTCGTAACTCTCTGACTTTTTTTTCTTTTCTTTTTTTTTTTGACAGGCAGAGTGGACAGTGAGAGACAGACAGACAGAGAGAAAGGTCTTCCTTTGCCGTTGGTTCACCCTCCAATGGCCACCGTGGCCGGCGCACCACGCTGATCCGATGGCAGGAGCCAGGTACTTATCCTGGACTCCCATGGGGTGCAGGGCCCAAGCACTTGGGTCATCCTCCACTGCACTCCTGGGCCACAGCAGAGAGCTGGCCTGAAAGAGGGGCAACCGGGACAGAATCCGGCGCCCCGACTGGGACTAGAACCCAGTGTGCCAGTGCCGCAAGGCAGAGGATTAGCCTAGTGAGCCGTGGCGCCGGCCTGACTTTCAAATAAATAAATAAAATCTTTAAAAAATAATAATAATAATAAATGAAGTGCTGGAAGGAAGAGCTACTAAATTTTTTTTTTTAATTAGGAATTCTAAATTGCCTCCTGTTTTTCTCTAGAAAAAAATACTTTGTCATTACGAGATAATAATTTCATATCATTTTGAATTTTTTTTTTTTTTTTTAATAGGCAGAGTGGACAGTGAGAGAGAGAGACAGAGAGAAAGGTCTTCCTTTTGCCGTTGGTTCACCCTCCAATGGCCGCCGCGGCCAGCGCACTGCGGCCGGCGCACTGCGCTGATCCGGTGGCAGGAGCCAGGAGCCAGGTGCTTTTCCTGGTCTCCCATGGGGTGCAGGGCCCAAGCACCTGGGCCATCCTCCACTGCAGTCCCTGGCCACAGCAGAGAGCTGGCCTGGAAGAGGGGCATCCGGGACAGAATCCGGCACCCCGACCGGGACTAGAACCCGGTGTGCCAGCGCCGCTAGGTGGAGGATTAGCCTAGTGAGCCGCGGTGCTGGCCCTCATTTTGAAAAATTTTTATGAAATGCTAATCCTATCATTTTCTGATTATATTTTGAGTAAATTTCATTTTTGTCTTGGTGTTTTCCTCTAGGCTGAAAATCTATTGTTAGATGCGGATATGAACATTAAAATAGCAGACTTTGGTTTCAGCAATGAGTTTACTGTTGGCAGTAAACTGGATACGTTTTGTGGCAGTCCTCCGTACGCAGCCCCCGAGCTCTTCCAGGGCAAGAAGTACGATGGGCCAGAAGTTGACGTGTGGAGTCTTGGCGTCATCCTGTACACGCTAGTCAGCGGGTCCCTTCCCTTTGACGGGCAAAATCTAAAGGTATAAAAAGCAGTTACTTTTGTGTACTTCACAAAACTGTAAAGGAGTTTTAAAAACCTAGAAGTCAGCTCACTCGCTTTCTTTCTTCTCTGCCTCCTCAAAGGAACTGAGAGAGAGAGTATTAAGAGGGAAATACAGAATCCCTTTCTACATGTCCACAGACTGTGAAAACCTCCTCAAACGCTTCCTGGTGCTGAATCCAATCAAACGAGGCACTCTAGAGGTAATCACAGCAGAAGTGAGCAACCGCTTCAGAGGGTCTTCACGGGATTTTAAGAGCTTTGTTGAATGTGTGACATACTGAGCACGTTCCTGAGACTTTTTAAGAAGGAATTCAAACAGTAAAAATGTATTTTTAAATTTTCCTTTGAGATATAATTATTGAAATGTTGAAAATAAAGTTTCCTTAATATTGTAATTATTGGAATATTTTCTGCTGCTAATGAACAGTTCACCTTTCCAGCAAATCATGAAGGACAGGTGGATCAATGCAGGGCATGAGGAAGACGAACTAAAACCATTTGTCGAACCTGAACTAGACATCTCCGATCAGAAGAGAATAGGTAATCGCCCTGTGGCTGCCTGTGTGTCTTGTCTGTCTGTCTGTACCTCTGTAACACCTCTGTCTTGGCTCGTGTGTAGGCAGCTTGTCTGTTGTTAGATTGGTAACGTAGTTCTACAGTTTCTACAGTAGCACCCAGTAACCATGAAACAACAAACTGTTCATGTGTGTTAGAAAATGTGTAACATTTCAGGTCAAATAAATTATACCCGATAACAGAATGATTTCTTACCCAAACCAAACAGTAACTGTATTATATCTTTCTGTTAGATATTATGGTGGGAATGGGATATTCACAAGAAGAAATTCAAGAATCTCTTAGTAAAATGAAATATGATGAAATCACAGCAACGTATTTGTTGTTGGGGAGAAAATCTTCAGAGGTAAGAATGATCAGAGAGGAAGATAATATTTACATAATACCTTTATGTAAATTGTTAGTTTATATGAACTGGTCCTTAAGGGTTTTTTTTAATGTATATTTGATATATTTTAAAATTTGCCTGTAAGAAGCAGCCTACTAGGTCTGCTAGCAGCTATGATTTTAGCTTTACCCCTTAATGATACTGTCCAAACTTGAGCTTTAGCCTATAGTCCTTAATAATTTAGAGATGATCAGAAATATCAGGCAAAGTGGATAGAGCATTTTAAGTTATTTGAAAAAGCCTCAAAAGAAGACTATAAATATGCTACTTTTTGTGGGTTTCTCTAGCAGTCATGAAAAATGCTTTTGCACATTGTAATTCTTTCTCTCTAGATGAGCTATATGAAAGCTTTATGTGCTATGAGAAGTTTAGTTTACTAATGAAGAAGCCATTTGGATCCGTGTTGTGGTTTGCTCTGTTTTTCTCATTTTCTCTTAGCTGGATGCTAGTGATTCCAGTTCTAGCAGCAATCTCTCACTTGCTAAGGTCAGGCCGAGCAGTGACCTCAACAACAGTACTGGTCAGTCTCCTCATCACAAAGTACAGAGAAGTGTTTCTTCAAGCCAGAAACAGAGAAGGTACAGTGACCATGGTAAGTGTGAGGCTGTTCCGGTGTGTTCCCTTGGGGCATCTCCCCTCACTAAGGGCCTCCTGCCACTGGGAAGCACCTCTCCCTCAGGATCTGTCAGGCAGGAGACAGGCCTGCTGTCCCTCTACATTTCCCAGCATGCCTGCAGTTGGTGGCTGGACCCATTTTGTACATTGAGTGCTTTTGCTGAGTGAGACTTTGATCTACCATCTGCCCTCTTGGACCCTTGCTTTGGGCTTTAGGTCTGTTCATCTCTTTTAGATTTACTCTAGAGCTTTCAGTGACAATGAAAATGTACATCTGTGCTATCGTGGATATTGTACTCCTGATTTAAGGAAATACTAATTTAAAATTTCAGTGGAGTAGCATATGCACAGCCATATGTGGCCTTTATCTGTAATATTGGACAGGATAGTCCAATTCTGCCTTGATTGGGTTAGATTTTTTGCTGTGTCATTCTCATCCACACTCCTAACCATTGGTGTGGTTAAGCTACCCTCATTCTTTTTTTTTTTTTTTTTTTGACAGAGTGGACAGTGAGAGAGAGAGAGGGAGAGAGAGAAAAGTCTTTTTTTTTTTTTTTTTTTTTGACAGGCAGAGTGGACAGTGAGAGAGAGAGACAGAGAGAGAAAGGTCTTCCTTTGCCGTTGGTTCACCCTCCAATGGCCGCCGCTGCAGCCGGCGCACCGCGCTGATCCTGGCAGGAGCCAGGAGCCAGGTGCTTTTCCTGGTCTCCCATGGGGTGCAGGGCCCAAGCACCTGGGCCATCCTCCACTGCACTCCCTGGCCATAGCAGAGAGCTGGCCTGGAAGAGGGGCAACCGGGACAGAATCCGGCGCCCCAACCGGGACTAGAACCCGGTGTGCCGGCGCCGCAAGGTGGAGGATTAGCCTATTGAGCCACGGCGCCGGCTGAGAGAAAAGTCTTCCTTTGCCATTGGTTCACCCTCCAATGGCCGCGGCGGCCGACACGCCGCGCTGATCGATGGCAGGAGCCAGGTGCTTCCCCTGGTCTCCCATGGGATGCAGGGCCCAAACACTTGGGCCATCCTCCACTGCACTCCCTGGCCACAGCAGAGAGCTGGCCTGGAAGAGGGGCAACCGGGAAAGAATCCGGCACCCCGACTGGGACTAGAACCCGGTGTGCCAGCGCTGCAAGGCGGAGGATTATCCTAGTGAGCCGCGGCGCCGGCCAAGCTACCCTCATTCTTAAGTTCATCATAGAATCCACTCTTTTAGGAAGCTAAAGGCACCAGTGGGTGTGCTCACTGAACTCCCTAGTTGCTTTGCCTTCAAGGCAGTCCCTCTGGGTTGGTCCTAAGCCTCTAGTGACGCCAAACTATGAATGCTAATATTGCGAGTATTCAGGCCAGGTCTGTGGCTTGGCAGGTAAATATGCCACCTGTGACACCAGTGTTCCATATGGGCACCAGTTCAAGACTCAACCACTCCACTTCCTATCCAGCTCCCTGCTAATGTGGCTAGGAAACAGTGGAAGATGCCCCAAGTGCTTGGACGCCTGCTACTCATATGGGAGACCCAGAAGAAGCTCTGGGCTCCTGGCTTCTGCCTGGCCCAGCCTCAGCCCCAGCCATTATGACCATTTGGGGAGTGAACCAGTAGATTGAAGATCTGTCAGTCTCTCTCTTTCTCTCTGTAACTCTGCCTTTCAAATAAACGAGTAAATCTTTAAAAATATATAGAGAGAGAGAGGGTATCCTACGATTCAGAAACTAAATCTGTACAGGTCTAGTCCTAACATTTTTTAAAAAAAATTTTATTTATTTGTTTGAAAGGATGACATAAAGAACTTCCATCTGTTCGCCAGATGCCTGGAACAACCAGGACTAGAACAGGCCAAAACCAGGATCCAGGAACTCCATCTGTGTTTCTTACGTGGTTGGCAGGAACTCAGGTATTCACCCCTGTCTCCAGGGGCTGTTCGCAGGAAGCTGGATCAGATGCAGAGTAGCCTAGACTTTGAACCAGACACTCCAGTCTAGGATGCAGGCTTCCCAGGTGGCGGCCTAACCTGCTGTGCCACACTAGCCCATAGTCCCAACTTTTAAGAATATATTCTCGGATGACGCCGTGGCTCAATAGGCTAATGCTCCGCCTTGCGGCGCCGGCACACTGGGTTCTGGTCCCGGTCAGGGCGCCAGATTCTGTCCTGGTTGCCCCTCTTCTAGGCCAGCTCTCCGCTGTGGCCCGGGAGTGCAGTGGAGGATGGCCCAAGTGCTTGGGCCCTGCACCCCATGGGAGACCAGGAAAAGAACCTGGCTCCTGCCTTCAGATCAGCGTGGTGCGCCGGCTGCAGCGCACCAGCCGTGGCGGCCATTGAAGGGTGAACCAACGGCAAAAAAGGAAGACCTTTCTCTCTCTCTGTCTCTCTCTCAGTGTCCACTCTGCCTGTCCAAAAAAAAAAAAACATTCTCACTTGGAAACCCCTATTCATCTGTTATTTCATCTCCCTTCTCTGGACATTTTCCACCTCTGTTCTTTCATCTTGAGATTTGACACTTAGAACACAGAGCATTCTAGATGTGAACAGCTTTCATGTATTGTATTTTTCTGTTCTTTTGTGTTTTTTTTTTTGTTTTGTTTTGTTTTGTTTTTTTTTTCCATTTTATTTGAAAGGCAGAAAAATAGATCTTCCATCTACTGGTTCACTCCCCAAAATGCCCATAACAGCCGAGGCTGGGCCAGGACCAAGCCAGGAGCCTGGAACTCCATCCAGGTCTCCCATGTAGGTGGCAGGGACCCAAGTGCTTGAGCCATCACCTGCTGCCTCCCAGGGCGCACATGAACAGAAAACTGGAAGTCAAGGCAGGACTGGAACCCAGATACCACAGTGTAGAATGTCGGCATCCCAAATGACGTCTTACCTGCTGTGCCAAAGGCCCATCCCCACGCTTGTGGTTTTGTACTAAACGTGATGACGGGGCAGGTGTTTGGCCTAGTGGTTGAAACATATAGGCCCAACATCCCAAGTCTGAATGCCTGAGTTCACGTCCTAGCTCCACGTCCAGATCAGCTTCCTATGATGTAGACTTGAGAGGCAGTGGGTTTTGTTTTAGTAGTCAGGGCCCTGCCATCCACGTGGGAGCTGAACAGAGTTCCCAGCTCCCGGTGCAGCCCCTGGCTCGGTCCAGGGCTGTTGCAGGCATTTGGGGAATGACCCAGCAAGTGAGAGCTCTGTCTGTGTGCATACAGTTCTTGTTGTCTGTCACTCTGCCTCTCAATTTTTTAAAAAAAAATTATTTACTTGAAAGAGTTACACAGAGAGAGAAGAGGCAGAAAGAGAGAGAGAGAGAGATCTTCCATCTGCTGGTTCACTACTCAATTGATCACGAGGGCCGGAGTTGCGCCATTCCGAAGCCAGGAGCCAAGAGCTTCCTCTGGGTCTCCCATGTGGGTGCAGGGGCCCAAGGACTTGGGCCATCTTCTACTGCCTTCCCAGGCCATAGCAGCGAGCTGGATCGGAAGTGGAGCAGCCATATCTTGAACCGGCACCCATATGGGATGCCGGCACTGCAAGCAGTGGCTTTACCCACTATACCACAGCACCAGCCCCTCAATTTTTTTTTAAAGTGATAATAAATTTCCCAGTTCGAACTCTCTTTCAGCTGACACCTGCCTTTGCATGGTGTGGACTCAGCATGGTGTACTGTTGTCATCAGTAAATTGTCCGTGGTGTCTGCTGCTTCTGGATGCAATAGAGACCTGAGAACACATTGATGTACGAGGGTGATGTGCTCACATCATTGATAGCTGAAGTGTTTATGCAGTAGCCAACATAATTACAAAGCAATTGTGAAATGTCTTCTAATAGCCCTAAAACCATCTAGTTTAGAGGGAATTGTTCCTTCATTTCTGTGGAGAATATTTTAATAAGTTAATTCTTCTGTAAGCACATGGATTCCACCTGGATCATTAATTCTTTTTTTTTTTCCCAGCTCATAAAATTTTAGAAGATGAGTTCTAAACATGGTATCTAAACCCATTTACCAAGCCCTCATTTTATCAGTATGGCTGAGATCGATCACAGGCCTCCCAAGATTACACAGTGGTGAGGGACACCTGGGACAAAACTTAGGACTGCTTGTTCCTGGATCTGATTTTGCCCACTAAGTCACTTCACTGGAGTGATCTTTTATTTATTTTTTTATTTTATTTTTTTTATTTTTTTGACAGGCAGAGTGGACAGTGAGAGAGAGAGACAGAGAGAAAGGTCTTCCTTTGCCGTTGGTTCACCCTCCAATGGCCGCCGCGGCCGGCGCGCTGTGGCCGGCGCACCGCGCTGATCCGATGGCAGGAGCCAGGAGCCAGGTGCTTCTCCTGGTCTCCCATGGGGTGCAGGGCCCAAGCACCTGGGCCATCCTCCACTGCACTCCCTGGCCACAGCAGAGGGCTGGCCTGGAAGAGGGGCAACCGGGACAGAATCCGGCACCCCGACCGGGACTAGAACCCAGTGTGCCGGCGCCGCTAGGCGGAGGATTAGCCTAGTGAGCCGCGGCGCCGGCCATTATTTTTTTTTTTTTAAACATTTTATTTTATTTGAAAGAGTTACAGAGACACAGACAGAGAGCTCTGCTGGTCCCCTCCCCAAATGGCCATAACAGTCAAGGCTGGGCCAGACTGAAGCAAGGAGCCACAAGTGTCTTCCAGGTCTCACACATGAATTCAGGGACCCAAGCCCTTGGGCCATCTTTTGCTTTCCCGGGTACATTAGCAGGGAGCTGTATCAGCAGCCAGGACTTGAACCTACATCCCTATAGGATGCTGATGTTACAAGCAGCTGCTTCACCCATTACACCACAGCCCCGGCCCCTGGAGTGGTCTTTTAAAATTTTATTTATTTATTTATTTTATTTGAAAGATAGTGACAGAGACAGATCCTCACTCCCCAAATGCCTGCAACAAGCGGGTCTAGGCCAGGCCAAAGGCAGTAGACCAAAACCCCATCTGAGTCTCCAGTCGGGTAACAGGGACCCAAGTACTGGA